TCCCTCTACTCCCCCACTTGTCCTGATTTAGGCTAACATCAGATTTTAACCATAGGCCCTATCAAATAAAAATGTTTTAAGCCTAGTCTTAAAAGTAGACAAGGTGTCTGCCTCACGGACTAAGGCTGGGAGCTGGTTCCACAGGAGAGGAGCCTGATAACTAAAAGATCTTCCTCCCATCCTAATTTTAGATATTCTGGGTTCCACCAGTAAACCTGCAGTCTGAGAGCGAAGTGCTCGGTTAGGAACGTATGGAACAATCAGATCACTGATGTATGATGGAGCTTGATTATTAAGAGCTTTATATGTGAGAAGAATGATCTTAAAATCTATTCTGAATTTAACAGGTAGCCAGCGTAGGGAAGCTAAGACAGGAGAGATATGATCTCTCTTTTTAATTCTCATCAGAACTCTAGCTGCAGCATTTTGGACAAGCTGAAGACTTTTAACTACATTCTGTGGACTTCCTGAGAGTAATGAATTACAGTAATCCAGTCTTGATGTAATAAATGCATGAACTAGTTTTTCAGCATCACTCTTGGAAAGGATGCTTCTAACCTTAGCAATATTCCGAAGGTGGAAAAAGGAAATCCTACAAACCTGTTTAACCTGGGATTTGAATGACATGTCCTGGTCAAAGATAACACCAAGGTTCCTTTGTTCTCGGAGATAAATATAATGCCATTCAGGTCAGGTGATTGACTAAGCAATTTCCTTTTCTGGATTTCTGGTCCAAAGATGAGAACTTCCGTCTTGTCTTGGTTTAAAAGCAAAAAGTTTAGAGTAATCCAATTTTTTATGTCCTCAAGACAAGCCTGTAATCCACCCAACCGATTAGGTTCATCAGGGTTAATAGATAAATATAACTGAGTATTGTCAGCATAACAGTGAAAGTTTATCCCATGCTGACTAATGATTTTACCAATTGGGAGCATATACAGTGGGGCAAAAAAGTATTTAGTCAGCCACCGATTGTGCAAGTTCTCCCACTTAAAATGATGACAGAGGTCAGTAATTTACATCATAGGTACACTTCAACTGTGAGAGACAGAATGTGAAAAAAAAATCCATGAATTCACATGGCAGGATTTTTAAAGAATTTATTTGTAAATCAGGGTGGAAAATAAGTATTTGGTCACTTCAAACAAGGAAGGTCTGTGGCTCTCACAGACCTGTAATGTCTTCTTTAAGAAGCTTTTCTGTCCTCCACTTGTTACCTGTATTAATGGCACCTGTTTGAACTCATTATCTGCATAAAAGACACCTGTCCACAGCCTCAAACAGTCAGACTCCAAACTCCACTATGGCCAAGACCAAAGAGCTTTCGAAGGACACCAGGAAAAGAATTGTAGACCTGCACCAGATTGGGAAGAGTGAATATACAATAGGCAAGCAGCTTGGTGTGAAAAAATCAACTGTGGGAGCAATTATCAGAAAATGGAAGACATACAAGACCACTGATAATCTCCCTCGATCTGGGGCTCCACGCAAGATCTCATCCCGTGGGGTCAAAATGATCATGAGAACGGTGAGCAAGAATCCCAGAACCACACGGGGGACCTGGTGAATGACCTGCAGAGAGCTGGGACCACAGTAACAAAGGTCACCATCAGTAACACACTACAATGGCAGGGAATCAAATCCTGCAGTGCCAGACGTGTTCCGCTGCTGAAGCCAGTGCATGTCCAGGCCCGTCTGAAGTTTGCCAGAGAGCACATGGATGATACAGCAGAGGATTGGGACAATGTCATGTGGTCAGATGAAACCAAAGTAGAACTTTTTGGTATAAACTCAACTCGTCGTGTTTGGAGGAAGAAGAATACTGAGTTTCATCCCAAGAACACCATACCTACTGTGAAGCATGGGGTGGGAACATCATGCTTTGGGGCTGTTTTTCTGCCAAGGGGACAGGACGACTGATTCGTGTTAAGGACAGAATGAATGGGGCCATGTATCGTGAGATTCTGAGCCAAAAGCTCCTTCCATCAGTGAGAGCTTTGAAGATGAAACGTGGCTGGGTCTTCCAACACGACAATGATCCCAAACACACCGCCCGGGCAACAAAGGAGTGGCTCCGTAAGAAGCATTTGAAAGTCCTGGAGTGGCCTAGCCAGTCTCCAAACCTGAACCCCATAGAAAATCTGTGGAGGGAGTTGAAAGTCTGTGTTGCTCGGCGACAGCCCCAAAACATCACTGCTCTCGAGAAGATCTACATTGAGGAATGGGCCAAAATACCAGCTACTGTGTGTGCAAACCTGGTAAAGACCTATAGTAACCATTTGACCTCTGTTATTGCCAACAAAGGTTATGTTACAAAATATTGAGTTGAATTTTTGTTATTGACCAAATACTTATTTTCTACCCTGATTTACAAATAAATTCTTTAAAAATCCTGCCATGTGAATTCATGGATTTTTTTTACATTCTGTCTCTCACAGTTGAAGTGTACCAATGATGTAAATTACTGACCTCTGTCTTCATTTTAAGTGGGAGAACCTGCACAATCGGTGGCTGACTAAATACTTTTTTGCCCCACTGTATATAGTAAAAAGAATCGGTCCAAGCACTGAACCCTGTGGTACTCCACAAGTAACCCTGGAGTATGAAGAAGATTTGTCATGTACATTTACAAAATGAAATCTGTCAGACAGGTAGGATTTAAACCAGCCTAGCGCTGTTCCGTTGATCCCTGCAACATGTTCAAGCCTTTCTACAAGAACATTGTGATCTACTGTGTCAAAAGCAGCACTACGATCTAATAAAACTAGAACAGACACAAGATTCTTATCTGAGGCCATGAGAATATCATTTGTAACTCTCATTGATGCAGTTTCAGTGCTGTGATACTCTCTAAAACTGTCATGTTCTGTGTCCCTTTGTTCCCCAGCTCCTCCAGTTCCCACTCCAGGTTCTCCTTTTGTGTTCTCTTAGCACCCTCATGTATCATTTGTCTGCATCTCTGTTGTGTGTCTTAAGTTATAGCCCCAGCCTCTTGTTCCCCAGTTCATTGTATGTGTGTATGAGTTTGTGTGTGTCAGTATGTGTATGTGTTTGTGTGAGTCCTTCCCTTAGTCTTTAGGTTTAGTTTTGTGTTTTATATAGTGTTAGGTTTATCTGCCCTCCACTGGTTCTCTTCCCCATCCAGATAATTGTTGCCACCTGCCTTCCCTCCAGCCTCACTCCACACACCTGCTTCCTGTTTCCCTAATTGCTCCTTCCTGTCTATATAAACCCTCCTTGTCTCCTTGTTCTTGTCGGTCCAATGTTGTTGTCTTATGTCAGCGTTGTTTTGTCCCTCCCTACTAGTCTCTAGGTCTCTGCTCAGTAAGTGAGCTTTTGGTTTATGTCTGAGTTTAGTTATTAGGTTTGGCCTCCTTCCCTTTGGATTTTTGGTTATTTTCCTAAATAAAGGATTTTACTTTTTCAACCGCTCCTGCCTGAGTAGTCTGGATATCTGAATTTTGGGTCCAAACCTCCTGCTCTCAACGTGACGAAAACCAGACTGAAATTCCTCAAACAGATAATTAGTGTTTAAATGCTCACATACTTGGATGGCCACTATTTTCTCCAGGACTTTGGATAAAAATGGAAGGTTAGATATTGGTCTACAATTCATTGGGTCATCTGGATCCAGTGAAGGCTTCTTAAGTAAAGGTTTGATTACAGCAACCTTAAAATCCAGTGGTACGTATCCATTTACTAAGGATATAATGATTATATCTAGAATGGGGCAGTAACCAAAGGAAATGCATCTTTAAATAATTTGGTTGGGATTGGATCTAAAATGCAAGTAGAAGGTTTAGATGAAGCTAATATTTTTGATAACTCTGAAAGCTCCACTGGATCAAAACGGTTCAAGCACAGAAGAGGTTCTACAGTTACCTCTGATGCTGCCTCACTTACTGAGGAAGAAGAAATTGCATTAGGGAGGATGCTAAAGATTTTGTTTCTAATAGAATTCTTAATTTTACTCGTGAAAAATCCCATGAAGTCATTACTGCTGAGGGCTAAGGGAATAGATGGCTCAGAGCTATGATTCTGTGTAAGTATAGCAACTGTACTGAAAAGAAATTTAGGATTATGCTTATTCTCCTCAATTAGTTCTGAAAAATAAGCAGTTCTAGTTTGTCGAAGCTTATTTTTATAAAGCAAAAGACTAATTTTCCAGGATAGGTAGGCCTCCTCATGGTGCGTAGAGCGCCATGTTCTCTCCAATTTTCTAGAGTTTTGTTTTAAGGCTCGTAAATGAGAATTAAACCAGGGAGCCAACTTCCTGTCCCTAATTACCTTCTTTTTTATAGGGGCAACATCATCTAATGCCACACGTAAAGAGGAAAGAACATTATGAACTAAGGCATTAATTTGTGTGGGGCTAGAAATGAAAATATTGCCCTCTGCTACATGCCTCTGAGATGCTGAGGACAGTAAAGATGGAACAGTTGATTTAAAAGATGAAACTGCGTTGTCAGATGGAGACCGACTATAGTGAAATTTACTTTCATGTCTCGAGAACTCAGTTATAAAAAACTCAAAGGTTATCAGAAAGTGGTCCAAGAGGACTGGATTATGTGGAAAGATCGTTATTTAATTCAGGTTTGAAGGTACAGTGACCTGAACCACCTGCTGTAACTATAGGAACCATGAATTCTGATCTCTAGCAGAACATCTAGAAGGAGAACATCTGACCTTTGACCTTAAACAGGCTTTTCCGGCTGGACAACCCTCCGATGTGGCTGAATCAAAGTAATATTGTAAAGAAGAGTGGGGGGAAAATCCCTCTACAGCAATGAGACTCATTAGTGGTTATCACAAACACCATGAGTGTTACAACCAGTTCAGCGTCGGGTCGGTTACTTTCCCACATAGGTGGAGGTGGGTTTGGTTACATTTTTGTCCCTAATTAATTAAATTATCATTTGAGAATTGCATTTTGTTTTAAACAGGTGATCGTTGTCTGATACTGAACTTACTGATCTGAAACATTAAAGTGAGACAAACACAAACAGAAAACATTTTTAGAGGGTTCACACTTTTTCACAGATAGCAGCATCATTCACAACTCTACGTCAAAATCAAAGGACGTTCAATAAAAAGTGTTATTAAAAAGAAATTAATAAAAAAAAGGACAACCTGCTCCAGAATACTAGAGATGAGGGATGATTTTCCACTCCCAACGTTCCCACAGACACCAAGCAGGTTTCCCTACAGGGAATAAACCAAAGATCTTCAGAATCATCGTCATCATCATCATCATCATCATCATCATCATCATCATCATCATCATTTATTTATTTATAAAGCACCTTCTTACACTTAACATGCCCAAAGTGCTTTACATGATACAATCAACACATCAACTTTATAAAATTTCATTCAAATAAAATAAAATTTATTGATAAAACAGTAAAATCTATACAATTATAAAACCGTCTCACACCCAGACACTAGCAGTAGAGACAAGTAAAAACAGAGAATAAAACAAGACTCACCCTAACTCCTATAAGAAAGCCAAAGAATAAAAAATGGGTCTTTAATCTACTCTTTAAAAACATCCAATGATGGAGCTTGCCTGATCACCAGCAGGAGACCATTCCATAATTTAGATCCAAGAAATGAAAAACGCGCTCTCCTCTGGTAACCCGATATACCTTTGAAACTTCCAGAAGGTCCATTGCATTAGACCTAAGTGCTGGGACGTAATTTTGGGGGTGGGACGGGTGGGACATGTCCCCCCCACTTTTTCAAAAGGCAGTTTTGGTCCCCTGCACTTTTTTCCATCCAAAAACAATGTTACGCTCCATTAAATGGATTTGGTTGAGCACTAGGACCGAAACGGAAACCGGTTTACTATTAGACCCGCCCCAAAGCTAATCTATTGGCTCTGCTGATACTTGCTAACGTATTATTGGCTGTTGCTGCTGTCACTCAAGTTGTAAACAGTCAGAACGTGCTCACGTTGTTTTGCTAGTTTGGAGCCGCTAGGGAACACCGGTACTGAGTCACATCGTCAACTAGACGCTGTGTAATATCAGAGCTCAGCTCAGCTTCCATTACATAACATTTGAATAAGTGTTCATTTGTGAGTCTTTGGTAGTTAGGCACAGCCAGGAGGCAGCATGTCAAGAAAACGAAAAGTGGATATAAGAGACTTCTTTCAAAGTCAAAACGTAAGTTGGAACATGTGACACCCCTGCATTAAGCTCAGACTCACCTCCTCCTTCACAAACATACTCAAAACTAACTTTTACAAACTCATCTCCTCCACATAACTGACTCCTCAGACACAATTTATTCGTATTATTATAATTATTATTTTTTTTATTATTACTATTATCATCATAATTATTATTACTAGTAGTAGTAGTAGTAGAAGTGTAACTTCAAAACTTTTATCATTTAACTTTATTGTAAACTTATCTATTGCAATGTATATTTTCACATTAAAAAGCTCTGAAAAATGAACAGTATCATCATCGTCAACAGATTTTTTTAAGCTTAATGTCAAAGATGTACACTTTTCATTAGATTTATCTTATTTTTTCCATTTTTTTTTTGTGTGTTGAAATGCAACAACTGTTTAAACACTTTTAAGGGAAAAACATATTTAATATGTTTTTATACACTCAAATGTTTAGGGTGATGATCATGTGTAAAACATTAGTTCAGCATGTCCTCTAACACAGCAAATGAACAAACGGCCAGATCTCAGGAGAGACCGTTTATGTATAAATAATTTTTATACTTTTGACTAGGCCTGGGAAAGTAACACATTTTGCTGGACGATATTTTGTCCAACAAATTGTTGATGATAAACGATATCATTGTCAACATTATCTAGACCAAAATAACCACTAATATAATGTTAATATATCATAATAATGCAAGTACACCCTTTAAAATGCAACAAAGAAACCTTCATTTAACATTGAAATGTCCAGAACCAGAACTTCTAAATGAATAAAAATAACAAACAAAAATTAAATAAAAAAGGAATCTCACTCCCTGTTAGAAAATGTTGCACCAAAAACAATAAAAAAAGACCCAAAACAATAAATACAATGGCCTATCCATTGTCAACAGCCAAAACTGCACTTCAGTAAGGATGGAAAAATTATTGAGATGGGCACGTGACGTGTCAAGGGGTCTTTACATAACACCCCCCACCCCAAATCCGCACAAGCCTGCTGTGTCCCCCCCACTTCTGAAATCAAAATTTCGTCCCTGCCTAAGTGGCTGTGATGGAACGTATCGCGTTAGAATGTTACACAGATATGGTGGTGCAGTTCCCAGCAGTGATTTAAAAACAAAAACAAGAATCTTAAAATAAATTCTAAAACCAATAGGGAGCCAGTGCAGGCTTCCAGTATGGGAGTGATATAATCCCTTATTCTGGCCCCCTCAGAAAATTAGTGACTGAATTTTGGACAGTTTGTTGTCTGGATATTGAGGCTTCATTAATTCCAGCATACAGAGAATTGCAATGATCCAGACGCGAAGTAATAAATGCATGTATCACTTAGGGATGTATGTAGTTAACCGGTTAATTGCCGTTAATGTTGTAACTGGGTAAACTAGTTTATCCCGGTTAACTGCTTCAAGTCCTTCGGCTGCGCTGGGTGCAATTTATTTTGTGTCGCTAGAGGGCGCAAGAGAGCAGCTATGAAATATGTTTACTGGGCTACCGCAGAGGAAGAAATGAGCTCGTCACATGACCAAACAAATGTGCTCAAACACGAAGCGCTTAGCAACAAGGCAGCGTTGGAGCAGTTGATTCTTAGTTATTTCATTCTTGGAACACAATAAGCCTCACACAGAAATTTTGGTAAATGTGCATCCCTAGTATCACTGTTTCTAAATGGTCATGTGACAGAAATGGTTTGAGCCTAGCAATACGACGCGAGTGGAAAAAAAAGCAGGATCTAACTACAGAGTTTATCTGATTATCAATTTTAGGGCTACATCAAGTTTGACGCCCAGACTGGCCACCATGTCTTCTCCAACACAAAGAGATCAAATGGATGCTCCACCACCACCCAATCATTAGGTTTAAAAATGATAACTTCTTCTCATTAAAATTCAAAAATATTGAGAGAGATGACCTTGTTTCTCCTCCTCAGAGGAACAGCCCACCTTAGGCAGTGTGAAGGAGATGTTTCTCAGGGTCGGTGAAGCATCCCTGTGTGTCTTTTGTCCCTTATCTGGACCATCCAGGATGGTGGGGGATGCTGGTTGGACATCCGGTTTGGTCCAGGAAAGTGTGGCATTGTCCATCACTACAGCAGAGTGGCTACCGTTCTCTTGCATCAGATAGGACTCTGGATTCTGCACCAGTAACAGTTTCTGAAACAGAAGCCATAGTGACACAAGACCAGTTTGCTTCACGAAGTCTAATAGCAGCAGATCATTTTAGAGGAAGCAAAGAAGACTTTGCAGCTTTAAGTGTTGTACCCTCAGTCGCGTTATTGCCACGGCAGCTTCAGCCAGAGCCTTCGCAGACAGAGGCATCAGAGCAAGGCAGAACCTCATGGAGTTGAAAATGGCGATGGTCGTGAAAGCCTGGAAAACACAGAGACGCTTACACAAACCAAACAGATTTGGTGATCTCTAAGCTACGTTGCTGCTGAGCTTACATCAGATGTGTTGAGTGGTGAACGCAGCGAAGTGTGCACCAGGAAGGTGAGAACGGTGGCAATAGTGGGGATGATGCCGGTGATACTGGTGTTTATATTCTGGATATAACTGACAAGTTGCAGTTGTTTCTTCTCTCGCTTTCTCAGTCCTGTCATGAATAAGAAAATATTTTCCGTTAACTTGTTTTTTAGCAGGTCATCACACATATAAATATATATATATATACATATAAATATATATATATATATATATATATATATATATACATACCATATACTGTATACCATATATCGTGTATACATCATCATTCATACCTTGTCTTGTATAATCATTAGTTTAGGGAAAAAGAAATAAATTAATTTTTATAAACTATATACTTGACTCTGTCTGTATTAATATGAAGTTGTTTATGGTCCCTCAATAAGTAAAAGAAACTAAAGTCTTCTAATTAAACATTCAAAGATCAATTCGATTGATATTTCATATGTATATGGAATTATCACATCTGTTTGATCATTTAATATATTTGTAGTCCTTAACACTACACGTGGCTTTATTAGTTGTTATGCCATTGATGCCGTGACTTTAACCCAACTTTTGTCTTTGGGTGAAGAGGAAGGAAGGGGAGTTGAATTGGCTAATGATTTGATCTCTGTTGTGACCCAGTAGGAAATTACAAAGTTAAATTAATGTAATGTTAGCTATCTCCCATGTTATAGTTCACGAAGAAACAATGACAGTTAAGTAATGATGCTTGTGTATTTTGTGGATGCTGAAAATGTTCAGCTATAATACATTTTAGTGTTGTGAAACTATCTTTTGTCTGAGCCATTTCCGTATGTTTTCATTTATTATTAATTTTCACTTAAAAGATAACAATCTGCAGTATTTACAGTAGTTTTACAGTAATAGGTTGTTTACAGAGAATACTGCAGGAACTGTAAAATAGCCGTATATTGGCCACCATAGAACTGACAGTATAATACTGTTTATATTCAGTACAGCACAGGACCGTTGCATTTTTACAGTAAAAAATTGTTGTACTGTACCTGCTCTAGCTGCCAGTAGCTTATTGTAATTTAACAGGAACATCTCTTACATTGTGGGAATGCACCTACACTGGGAATTTCAGACTCCTCCATGTTTTCTCAGTGGGAGAACTTGCAAAATTGCTCATGTTCCTCGCTGTGCGTCACATCAGTAGGAGCTCAATGCAAGTCCTTGTCATTAAGGCAGTTGGGCAGAAGAGGAGCCTTTTTCTTTTAGGTCGCAAATTCATAATTATGGGCTAGTAATTATCAGCTGATCACTGGTATTCAACGATCAGCTTAACTCCTGGAAAATCAGATATCATCAACAGGGTTAAGCTTTTAATCAGGTGGCGCCACATGGGTCTGGTTTCAAAACAGACCAAATACATTTAAACTTTTGGACCATGCCACTGAAACTCATCAAGGTTGTGATGGTTTAAAGTACCTGCAATCTTCTTTTCAAAAGACTCCTCCCAGGCGTACATCTTGATGAGCTTAATGCTGTTCAGGATCTCGTTCATTGTGCGAACACGGCTGTCTGTTATCTGCATGGCTTTGCTTCTGAACTTATTAATGAGTCTGGCCAACAAGAACTGCAGAGACAGAAACACATTACTACAAACCTTCAAACTACAGTAACATGCTGATTATGAGGGCCAATTTCCTCCAAATGAAAGAAAGAAAATGGTCACGTGGTTTGAGTTTAAGCCTTTAGTTGACTGTAGCACATTCTCATCAAACCACTTCTGGTATCCAAATGAGGATTGCATCAAAAACCTGCCTCATCAGGTCCTTCACATGTCTACTGCCCTCTGGCCTGATTTGTGCTCCAAGTGCTTCACTTACTGGTCAGTGGGGTTAAAATGATGATTATTAAAAACAGTCTGACCATTTTCAATTTTAAGAAATGGGTGTCCATTCTCACTATCAGTCAATATATTATTTGCATCATAACATAGATTGGCTTTTGGTTGTCCAGTCGGTAAAATCTGAACAGAATGGTTTAGTACTGACTAACCTGAGGACAGTTACCTGTATGGGGACAAAGATGAGGTAGGTGCAGACTCCAGTCAGGGCAGTGTAACCGAGAACATAGCAGGCATACACAATGCACACAACGAAGAGCACTGGGGCAGAGAAAGTGAAGCTAGCAAACAAGACTGCCTCAAACAGTCTGTGGCCGTCGTTGGTCAGGACATTTATCATCTGGATGTGATACAGAAACAAGCAGAGACAGGTGGTAGAAAAGGTCAGATGAGCTTAAACCTCTAAAGAAGTGAAAATCATGTTCAAAGCAGTAACCGTATTGTTCTTCACCTCTCCCATGGAAATGCCATCAAGCGTCCTGAGAGAGATGACCTTCTGATAGGCCATGGTAGAGAAGGCACCTTTCAGCCTAACTGCTGTACGCAGGTTGACAGCCCACAGCAGAGAGATGAAGAGAGCTTTGAAGAACTCGGTGGTGAACAGAGCGAAAGCCAAACCAACACCGTGGGTCACTGAGGATTCCTCTGCGAATTCGATGTAGTTTAAGATCTGATAGACCAGGATGGCCTGATGGGACAAAAACACGCAGACAGACGGGGACGTCAGCAAGCTCGGAAAAAGACTAATTCACATTTTTCTCAGGCGTGGGTCCAGAACCAGGCAGATGAAAGCAGTCCGGCTTTGGTGCATCATTTCAGGTTTATCCCAGTCGTGAGTCTGTTTGCAGGGTTTGTCTTTCCCATGAAACGGCCCAAGGCAGAGCTAGGACGTTTGTGTGAATTTCTTGAGAGCTGATGGGTTGACACAGATTCTTGTGGGAGAAATGTAGAAAGACTGTATTGATAATTAAACGTGGGAAAAAGTTTCCAATTACTTTTTACAGTTTTGTTTCCTCATTAATTTATTTTTTCGCAATTATTGGCAGGATCAGTCCACCATACTCCATGGTTTTTACAAGACGTGATCAATCCTGCAGTTTCTATTTGTTTTTAGGGATTCACAAAAGTAGCCACACTGAAGTTTTGTTGCTCGTTTTATGCATAAAAAACATTACATAACTAACGAGCAATAAATGTCATGAAAATAGCCTTGAATCACCTAAACCTAAAAATTAAATGTGTTTGCAGTGTTTGAAGGGTTAAAGGCCATAGCTGCTGACTCACCGGGCCAACGAACGCTGCCATCATGGCGAAGATCCCAACAAGTACTGACAGAATGAATCTGGTTCTTTGAAAGAGAAAGATGGCACGGATCAGCGAGGCCTTCTCTGGACCGTTCCTCGACTTCTCCTCCTCCCAGAGTCTCTGCAGCCTGTGAAACAATCATGGGATGTTCAAGCACGTCCCCTCAGACAGAGACCAACACGTTCAGATTCAGAGTTTGAATTTGGAGTTGATCAGACATAACTCTCGTCAGATACTGGTTTAAGAAGTAAATTACAGTTGTGTCAATAATAGAAACATAAACCACTCAAAAAGGATCCCAGACCTGTCTCCACTTGTGTCAGCCTTGTCAAAACCAGACAGGCTGAGGGAGGACATGTCCAGCTTGTTCCTGAAGATGGCCCACATCATCGGGGTCATCCAGGCAAAAGTTGCAAAGGACAGGAAGCCGGCATTGTCCACAGGGTGTGATCTAGACGTACGGAACATTTCAGACATCTGAGTTAATCTGTAACAGTTCAATGGGCAAAGAAACTCTGTGTCATCAATAAAACTTACTGGGATGAAGACAAGCGGATGGGTTTGAGTGTCTGCAGGCTTTCATGGTACTTCCCAAAAAGAGAGGGGTAGGCCACATCATTATTGGCGGCTGCTTCAGTCTGCTCTAGACTGGAGACTTCCGATCCGGTTTTCCATCTAATAGCATCATCTGCCTGAGGAGTCAGAAACTTAAATGAGTTGAAAGAACCTTTCGTTCCAGCATCAAGTCTCAAAGAGCAGATCAAACACGAGGGCAGCGGGGACGCAGGATGTAGGAGAAACAATGGCAGAGACGTTGTGGTAACAGCTGCTTTTGTTCTGCAGACTTACAAAAGAAAATCGCCGGGGCCGGTTCTTCTCAAAAGAATATTCTGTCTTCATTTTGTCCTGAAATGTAAGAAAAGTCAGGAATATTCAGCCAACACAGAAACATTTAAACATGACAAGAAAGCAAAGGCAGAAAAACATCCATAAGGAAACAAACGTTTTTACCACCTATAGCAGAATGTCTGAACCAACGAGCGACGCCACAGCGTAAGGCGGTTCTCCTGACTGCTCCTGGTGCTTCCTGACCAACGTTTAGAGCAGAGGAGTGAATGACTGACAGCAGCTGTCCTCTGACCTCCTTCCTCTCTGTGTCAAAGTTCCCTCGGTCACATCAGAACATACTTTCATGATGATGAGAGTCCGTTTACAGTATCGTAAAGTCAAGGACAGCTGAAGGAGCAGAACTTAATCTTTCACATAAAAAGTATCTGGAGTCAACCGGGTCATTTTTGCAGATCTATTAACATGGACAAGAACATTAACAGAGTTTGCCTTTTCTTCAACCCAGACTGTTTTTAACTTTTGTTACAACAAACTCCTATAGGACTGGTGAGGCCCTTGCTGTTAATAATGAGGCCATCCATGTTGGGCATGAGGCAAAATGTCCTCAAGAAAAACAAAACTTCAGTCGTTTCCAACTAAACCCTCTAGGTTATCCTGCCCCGGACAACTGAGATTCTACACGAATGTATAGTTTATTGTATTAAAAAATAAAGAGAGGACTAATAACTTGATGATTTTAGCTTTCGTCTTGAAAAGCTTGGACACTCCTGCTCTACAACATGCAGGAAAGTGGCTTTTAAGTGGACTCACTGGTCTCCTTTAAAAAGCAGCTGAACAAACACCTGTTCAAGCTGCCTTTGCATGACCTTCATCACAACCCTCTCCTTATTCTGTTCTAATTCCACCTTTCCCGGGATCCATTGATTTCCCTCTTTCCTATTAATTTTCTCTCTACCTTTCTTCACTTTTTCTTTTGTTCTTTTCTCCTTTTCTCATCTTTGAAATCTTTGGTAATGCTTTCTTTTACAGTTTCCTAATTACTAAGTACTTACATGGTAATTACATAGTAATTTAAAGTGTGTGATTGTGTAATTAAAGTGTATAATTGTAATAAAGTGTAATTATTGTGTAATGCAGTATTTACTGGGAATGATTAATAAAAGTAAAAAAACTAGAATTGAACCTGAGTCACATGGTAATAACTATTTAAGAACTCAGAAACAACAATACCCTTTAACTTACTATGTAATTACCATGTAAGTACTTAGTAATTAGGGGACTTTAAAAGGAAGCGCTACCAAATCTTTTTATACTTTATATACATACATATTTTTTGCTTTTGTGAAGCCCCTTGTGATTTTTATCTTGAGTGGCGCTATAGAAAACATCGTCTTCTTCTTAAGGACTGAACTGCAGTGGATGGAAACGATCCTACGAGCAAGTTTGTGTCAGACCACACCTCAAGCCTCCCACTCCCAACCCAGGCTTCACAACTGAAGAAGCTTCTTAGATCAGAGGCAAAATGAAAAGTCCAGCTGTTTCCAACTACTCCTCCAAAGTGCAAAACATTATGCTATGCTGATTTTTAATGTGTACACCTGCAAACGGGTTTAAAAAAAAGCATTTTAGTAAAAATCTAAACATAAACATTTAAGAGTCAGTCTACAACAGTCTATCGGAAACAAAGTCAATAATCCTAATTCACAAAATCACTTTGAGGGCCTTAAATGACCCCTGGGCTGAACTTTGGACACGCGTGTTTTAAAGGTCTCTGCTCCATCAGACCCGATTTAAGGTGATTAACAGGCTTCTATGGGATTTGAGTCATGCTGAGGTAATCCAGCTGTTCAATCAGGTGTTGGAGTAAGGAAACAACTAAAACATGCAGGACAGAGACTGGCAAACAGAAATACGCTTATAAAAGATAAAAGGTGAAGTTTAATACATAAAATATATCAAATGTAATCAAGTTATTTCATTGATATTTGATATCAATAAAGTAAACATAACTTAGCTAATTTGCATCACAAGTCCCATTAAGCAACAAAATAGAGACCGAATATAATAAACATTCATAAAGGTGTTTTCATAAGCTCTGTGTCTTAGAATAAATAAAACATCTTTAAATAACTACTCCATCAGGAGGATCCTGAAGAAGAGAAAAAACACTGACGAAATATTTCCATTAAAAATCAATAAATGTATGATATTAAATAAGTAAATAAAAAAGTCAAAATGGTTTCTAATAAAGGAACAAGGTGAAAGGCTGTCTTCAATAAAAACAAAGTAACGGCAACAGAAGCATAAATGTGAGTAAATCAATGAGAGATCAAAGCTCCTGAGAGCAGGACGGTACCTCTGTGTGGAGGACGGAGGAGACACAGCACAGTCTGAAGGGAGCGCAGGAGCCAGGAACTTTTCTCTCTGCCTGACTTTATGAAGATCAAAGGTTGCTCTGCTCAGAGGTAAACCTCCCAATGTTCCTTCCTTATGATCCAGATGACAAGCCAATCAAAACCACTTACAGTAGACCTGACAGCGGGATGAGGACAGCTGCGTCTGCAGGTTTCTTCACACTTCATCCAAAGAACGTAGGACTAATTAACAGATTTTTGTGGTTCTGATTCCTGATGTGTATAATGGGCATGTGGTGTTAATGCTGCAGTAAAGTGATCCAGATGTGTCCTACTAGCTGTAAAAAGGGGTTTCATTATGTGTCAGAAAGCAACACTGCTCAGCTTTTTTATTTTAATGAACGAACAACGTCAAATATGTTTGCTCTTACACAAGATCTCTGACGTGGACTCGGCTCCAAAAACATCAGCAAGTGATGATGACTCTATATACATGATGAATAAAACAATGATTTGATTAGTGAAACACAGCCAGACAGGACCTGGTTAGTCTACTGTCTTTATTTTGTTGAATATGCTTTGCATCTTATGTAAGGAGCTTTATCAATCCAGCAGAAAAGGCCTGAGAGCTGCGAAGGTAAACAGAGGAGGTTTGAGGATTTTCCAAACTGTTTTACAGCAGTCCAGAGCTTCACGAAGGTCATCAAAACATCTCCTGGATAGACTAGGACATCATCAGTGACTCAAACAGCCCTAAAAGGGTGAGTAGTGGGACTGGTTTGTAAATGAACCAGCATTAACACAGATCCTACGACAATCTTCCTTTTCTGTGTGTCTTACTTTGAGAAAAACCAACACAAACTGTGATTTTTACACTTCTTTAACAGCGTGTGCTTCTAGTCATCCAGACGAGTGAAACTTCAGAGCTGACTGGATTAAAGTTGACCTAACTTGGTTCACCTGCCGTTCACCCAAGTAGTTAAATATTAAAAGTGAGTAAGACAAGTAGAAAAGGCAAAGGAGGCGGATTAGCAGTGCGTGTCAGCATTTGGTGTAATCCAGGACATGCTACTGTGAAATATCTCTGCAGCTGTGAGGTTTCATCATATTATCTATCGAGGGAGTTCATTGGTGTGGTTGGGAGTAAGATCCCCCATCATCAGCTGTTGGTGCTGCTCTGATTCATCAGCAGAGTTGTTGCTAATAAAGACGCAACATTTAATTATTCTACCCTTCCAACATTTCAACAGTATGTCATCTGCTCCACCAAAGAGAATAAAACACCGGTTGGTTTTCTGCTAACGTCAAGCCTGCATGCAGCTCTTGTGCAAGACCTATCCCCGACAACACTGACCATGCTCTTGTTTACCTCTGCTCTGTGTACAAACACCTTGCTAAGTGGCTATGTGGGACAGAAAACAGAGGGGATGGACACAGGGAGCTAAAGATACTCTCACTCACTCTATGAGGTCCGTGGAAATGACGTCAATGGTAAATAGTCTGTATTTGTATAGCGCCTTCTTAGGGTTCTACAACCCCCGAGGGGCTTCACAACACAATCAATCATTCACCCATTCACACGCTGGTGGGAATGAGCTACGGTGTAGCCACAGCTGCCCTCGGGTGCACTGACAGAGGTGAGGCTGCCATAAACTGGCACCACCAATCCCTCCAACCACCACCAGCAGGCAAGGCGGGTTAAGTGTCTTGCCCAAGGACACAACAGCAGATTTCTCTCGTCCGAGCAGAATCGAACCTGCAACCTTCCGATTACTGGACAACCTGCTCTACCTCCTGAGCTACTGCTGTCCCTCAATGACCTGACTGAGTGACTGACTAGATCCCATTGGAAGTGTGAGGTTCTACCCCAATAAACCATGGGTAAGCAGAGACCTGAAAGAACACTCAGGGAGGATAACCGGGAACTATTCAGGAGAAATGACTGAAAACATTCACAGCGATGTGTAGAGGGACTGAAAACATCAGGCTGTGTTTTAGTCTGCATGTGTTGTTGGCCAGCAGTAACTGTTGGGCATGAAGAAATTATTTTAGTACTAAAAGACAGAAAAATATTGAAAACGTGTAACCAGTTCACGTTGTTTCCTACAAGTGTAATGCAGATGATCCAACTGGCTCATTATGGAGCAGCAGAGGAAAACTACAGCCAGGAGAAGCCTGAATGTCTTCGTGGGTTAACGTGTGTTTGGAGCTGGGACCTTAGTGGAGGAATGTGTTTTTATAACGTTGTGGTGGATCATGGGTTGTTATCTTTTAACCAAGTGTCCTCTATTTTCCCTAGATGTGTCACGGTGGTTGGAGGTAAACAAACTAGGGCAGATACACTGGCTGCTCTAGCTAGTAGAGGTACAGCTTTAGTAACTATTAAAGGTGCAATTTGTAAGGTTGACATCCTGTGGTCAAATGTGGTTACTAAAGTCCAATTTTAACACAAAAATATTACTCTCTCACTTCCGTTCTATGAGTTTAATGGCTGTTGCTAGATCAGTGCCAGAAGATTCTAGTTGACAAGCAAAGACGAGGCATACTCAATAAGTAGATGAATACATTGTCATATCTGGTGTTGGATCTCTTGGGTGCTTTACGGTAGGAGCACTAACTACACTTTTTTTGGTAGTTTGCCTCTGGCTTCACAGGAAGTGTTGTTTGCTATCTTGCAGTTATAGTTCGACTCATTAAAAGAAGTAAAATTCCACAACTGACTCATTATTCACTTAACACACATTGCACTGTAACATTGAGTTGTTGGTAATTGAAAAAGTAGCTGAGATGTTTTTAGAGCCGACTATTCGCTTCTGATTCCCTGCTAGCTCAACTTAAAGGTTGGTTTATGCTTGATGCATCCGCGAGGTCCGCGCGGTGAAATTGCGCCATTTTAACAACCACGCCCCTCCACCGCGCCTCCGCACGGCCCAAAATTTCTGCAACGCACACCTAGGAAAATTTCTAACCACACAGACGGTCGGACGCAGAAAAACATGGCGGACCGGCAAGAACTAGTATGGCAGAGGTTGGTAAATACAGACATTTGTATGATTCAGCTCTTAGAGATCACCGTGATCAACATGTTGTTAATAATTCTTGGAGAGAAATAGCTCGCACTGTCGGAAAAGACGAGGACGCTGTTAAAAATGCTGGAATGCCATGTTGTAAACAGTCATTTTTACTTCTACTATGGTGTAGTGTTGGATGCATGCCGTAGAGCTCCATGCTGCCCCCTACAGTTTGGGAGAATATTGGCTCACCGCAGAGACTAGCCGCACGAACCATAAACGCTGCAAGTTGTGAAGCGCGTTCGAGCCGCGAGCCGCATCACCAAGCGGAAAGTGAATGCGTCAAGCATAAACCAAGCTTTAGCCTGCTGCCTGCTTCACCTAATATTAGAGTAAAACAAAAACATGCTGTGGCTTCTCAGGGGTACAAGAATTAACTGTTGGGTCGCTCCAGTTAATTGGCTTCCATCTCTGCAGCTTTTTGCCTGCCAGTTTTGAATAGCAAAGTCGGTGCAGCCGGAGACATGGCAACCTCACAACTTCACAAGGAGTAAACAGTAACTACATCTTGCTTTCTTTCTTTTATTTATTTTTTTTTTTTTAAAGGAGAGCAAGCCCCTAGCTGGCTGAGGAGGAAATATATTTCAGTATAACCATCCTTCCAACATGTCTGAATTGTCCTCTTTACTTTTTCTAGTTTGTATCTTAGCTTTGGGGTCAGTTGCTTAAAGGGAGAACCCTGTTTTATTTGGGGTTACCTATTAACTTTGGTGACATTGCTGCCCCTGGGACAGTATTTACTTGAGCTTTAGTGCATCTTTTAGGTGGTTCCTTCACGTTGGGTGTGTGTGAATGATTCTCAGTTAAGGAGCACAAGTGTTTTGCTTTAGTTTGTCATCTTTTGTTTTGGTCCCCCTGACAGCAGCTTGTGCTTTTAAATTAGTATTAACTGGCTTTGTGTGTGGATTCCCTAGGCCAGCATTGTCCTTGGGGTTTCCAGTTTTTCTTCTATGGAACTAGGATCAGGACTTTAATAACTTGAATTAGTAAAGAGTTTTATAACATGAAACTTTCGTTTGGTCACTTGCAGACTTAAAGGGGGCATATCCAAGAGGTAAAGTCACTTTTGGGGCCTTAAATACAGTCTGATGTGCATTTTAAGTTTCCAGGTGTGCAAATAAATACAATTAGTCACTTTAAGTGCTATAGATATGTTTTAGTTTAATACAAGTGTTACCCCCCATGGTCATCACATGCCCCCCTCATAATATGGTTCTGGAGCCAGGGCTAAGCCCAGTATGAAGAATACCAAAGTCACGAGTGGAGAGCTCCAAAGATCCGGTTGTTTGATCCACATGCATCTTTACACCGTCCCTCAGCATCAGAACTTATTTGGTCGGGTTTTATTCATCTGTGTGGAAAGTACTGTTTGTTTGTGCCATGCACTTGTAACGTGAGGAAATATGGGTTTTCTGTGCCAAAGGTTTCATTTGACTCGGCTGGGTCAAAGCTGGGTCGCTGAGAACTTTCACCCACAGAGTGAGACCTTTGCCGACATGAAGTCTGCAAGAGTCTGCTGCAAACCATAACATCTGCCACCTGCAGTGCCAGAAGATGTTGTTCTCATGGATGTAGTCATAACATAACAAAGTCTTAGACTTCCTTTTCTTTATATTAAATGTTAAATAATCATTATTATTATTTTGCTCATCATAAATGTGTTTTAATCAAATTAATGATTATTATGCTTTGGGTAATCATAATAACTAATGAATCAATGCTTAATTAAATAATATTTGAAGATGTTATAATGACCTTCACACACACACTCTCACAGTAAACTCCAAAACACATTTGCTCTGACGCACAAGTTTTGCTTTGAGAAGAGAAAGGCTTTTGCTAAGTTTTCAGTTCATGATTCAGTTCGTGTTGGTCAACGAGAGAGAGGACGTGAGAACAACCGCTAACGGGGGACCGGAGCCCGCCGGTCCCCCCCCCCCCCCCCCCTCACGCTATTCCTGCCAAGCCAGACAGGAATAGCTGAATTGCAACCGCTAACGCAGACTCGTCCAGAGTCTTTTGATTTCTGAGTAATTTAAACTTAAGAAAGCGCATCTGCAAACGCTTTATCATCACGTGTACCGAGGTCAACTCTGGACCGGAGCGTCGGACACCTTCGTCTTCTCTGCCAGCCAAGGTGCCCTGGATGAAACATCCTCCTTTGACGTCCCAGATCTAAAAGAGGGTCCGAATACGGTGAGACAGTCCACAACAGATAGCGTTTGATGCATCTTTTCCAACAAAACCTAAGTTTATTCAAACCATCACTTTTCACTCAGACACCTGTTTCTTCCTGAAGCAAAATCAGACGCACACACGCATTCATCTCACCTCATTTTCAATTTTCACACATTCAACACAAGGTCTATTTGAGCAAGTTTAAAATATCAACTGTTAAAGATTGTTCAACAAAGTTGCCAATGTTGATTGTTGTTTCCTATGCTTGTCATTTCAAAATCATTAGTTTAATTTGAAGAATTAAATCTTTTAACTTTCAAACTTGTCTCTTCATTGAACTGAAACACAGATCCACGGATATTATCAACAGTTTATCGATGAAAACAACCTTTGAGTCTTCTTAAAACTATAAAATTTGGTTATTAATTTATTACAAATTAATATCACAAATTAATATGTAGGATGGTTCCTCTTTCATAAAAGAGCATAAACCATTGCACTACATAATTGACAGAGCCTAGCCAGGTTATCTACACACTGTAAGCACAGATGCTTTAGCAGCCTCCAGCAGTACAGAGAAGGACTTACTGAAAGACTTTGTCTCATTGAGGGGTCAGTTCCTTTTGAATATGGCAGTGATGGACACAGCAGCAATGTGGTAAGCTTCATGTAACTCTACAGTGTTGGCAAACTTTACCTTTGACTTCCATTAATGGGCTCTTGAATATTGTTTTGGTAGCATTAGCATTGGACCTGCTTAAGTTAGGACCATGTGCTAGTCATTTGAAACAAAAATGTGAGGAACCAGTTGAGAGCCGAAAGAGTCGGTTCTTTTTAGTGAGACGAGCCGTGAGAACCTGTTATCTTACACGAGCCGGAGTTCCTAATCAGTAAAGGAGTTTCAACGTGCTTCCATCATGGTCCCTCCTACTTTTTAAAATTATGCATCCCCCGCCGCACACACTTAGTCCAGATATCCTTACATAAAACTTCTCCTACTAACAAAATACCAGTCCGTATCTGTATGTTCAGTCTGACTAGTATTAATACTATTTGTACTGGGATAAATGATTGCTTTGTAAAATAGAGATACAACAAAGAGAAGTGGTTGTTATCAAATATTTTGATTAATACAATTCAAATTCAGTCCATCTCCACCTGCTGGTGTGCCTATTATCAACAAGAATAAAAAATAAACACAATCAAACTTTTATTGGAAGTTTCTGTTTTTTAGTGTGTTAGTAATTTCTGCATTAATCAGCTGGTTTGTGGTGAATAAATAGTGACTGAGTTTAGGTTTTACTACTGTAGGTAGAATAGGTGTTTAACAACCTGTGTAAATGCACCAGAATGCAGGAGATTGCATTTACACCACAGTTATTTTTCTGTGCCCCCCCACACACACACTTTTTTTTTATGCTTATGACACCCATGGGGTCAATAAACCGCAAAGTTATCTCTGTGCAAAAGTCAGATTTTTAAGCTGAAAAGGTAAATGTTTGCCCTTTAATTTTGTTGTTTGCTTTTAAGATTTTCACTGGTGATATTTTGATGATCTGTTGTGCAGCCCTTTGGTCCACTCTGGTCATTTTAAACATCTTCAATAAACACATTTGATTAGAAAAAATGTATTTAAACAATTTCTGGATAAATCAGTCAATCGTCGTATGTGACAGGTTTATTTCAACCAAGACTCTGAAATTAATATATACACTCATGTTCCTGTTCTTAGCACATGCAAATACCACGTAAGACCTGTAGGTGGCACCATAGGCTCTGCTCATCAGGACAATTTGAAGCTTTCAGGTTTCTGTATTTGGCAATTTTGTTAATCCCTGGAAAAAAAAAAAAAATATATATATATATATAATTGTGGTCTATCACAAACTCTACATCACAGTGACTCCAACTCCCGTTTCCCAGTACACCATAATACAAGTGTTACTGTTTTAATGAGGAGATCCTGACTCAGGAGCTTCTCCGTCTCTGCAGGGTCTGTCTCAACTCTTTCAGCAGTAGAAGTCCAGCCCGTGTTTCTTCAGATGAGGATCTGGTCTCATCTGTAGTCGGAGCAAGCTGGGCATGCGAGGCACTGCCATAATGTGTCCAGCCGTGCAAGTTGTAGGTCACTTTTGAGTCCAACAGAGTCTCCTTCATGTGTTGATTCTCCCGGGACGCTGCCTGCCACACCACCTTCAGTTCCTCCTCCAGCTCTCTGGAGAAATATAGATCCAAGAAGAAAGCATAACAAAATAGAAATAAAAGCATGTAGATTCATTCACTGTTTCCCTCTGCAATCACTATAAAAAGGAGCTGGAGGGAAAGTGTGTATGGTGTGTGTGTGTGTGTGTGTGTGTGTGTCGGGGGGGGGGGGGGGGATTAATTCTTCAGTTATTTAGTATTTATAACTGGTTTCTGCAGATAAATGGGCAGAACTATACAGCAGAGCACTGCTCTGAGTCATGCAACATGGCACCCACACAAACACTGATTATAAGGACCTGGTTGGTAAACATAAAGCTTTGTGAGACCTTCATGGTGTTTTTAGCAGTAGAAGATGAGATCTGAGTGTCTCAGTGACTCACCGAGTCTCTCCGGGCTCTGCATTCAGACCGGTAAACACAACTCTCAAACATGCTGCTAGTAGTCAAGATTGACACAAGACTGAGTTACTTGTTTTTATTACCTGTAAGCCACAATCAACATGATTACACCACGGTTTAGCTCAGATGGAGTCTTTATGTCCTACGAATGGCATGTTATTTACCCCCCCACCTCTGACAGATGGGCCACATATCTGATAAACACTTCATGGATTTTAATCAAACCTTTCAAATTGGAGGGAAACTGGCCTTAAAACATATTAATGGCTCTGGTTTATTCTATTTTCCAGGTGTTGAGATGAAGTCTGATGAGAAAGTATACGAGTCAGACACAACACACATTCTGAGCACTAACAGGTCACACTAGGTCTTATCACACGAGCATAGTGGCATTTTATTTTCTCATCATGCATAAAAACTATGATTTATGGCAGGTGTGTAACCAAAGAGTAAGAGCCTTATCATTAATCATAAATAATACCGGTCCTGTGCTGTTCTGGTGGACTACAGGTCCTCTCCTGGAAGCTGCCAGAACATCACTTCTTTATAAAGTGGTTGTTACATCTCCCAATGTGGATGCGTGTGTTTATTTGAGAAGGAATATATTTTGTTTTGTTCTAGGCTCCGCCTCCTGTCTGACTGGGTGCTGCATCCTGATTATCACCATATCAATAATTAGCAGTGCCCTATATAATCAGTGTGAAGTATTTTGGTCGTTTGATAGCCATACACCCGTGTTTGTTGTGTAGACCTTTTCAGACAATCTTTGTCTCGTTCCAGTTTTCTCCTGCTTATGTGCTCGTTAGCTTATTTTGTAGGTTTGCATATTTGGGTTTAAGGAGTTAGGCAAGTCAAACTATTCTTTTCTTTTAGGATTGTTTTGTTTGATATGTTGGCTTGAGTTCTCCCTCACGCTGAAAACAGCAGCCATCTTTAAACAATGACATAAAATAAAAGTCTCAAATGCCATCTGGTCTCTTCCTTCCACGTCTAGATTTATGTTAGTCCCTCATGTCTTCTAGGCCAGCCAGGGGACGTAACCATTGGTCCTTACACACTAGAATCGGCTCCACTCTGCCTGGACCAGGTTTTCCGCGCCAGACCAGATGTATTTTCAGCCCTCTTCTAGAGGAGGTCTGCCTGAAGCCGAACCTGGCCGACACACCCACTGCTGATTGACTGGCCAACTCAAAAGCACTCCTACCATTAGGGGAGCCGCCGATTGGCAGATAGAATCCTCCTGCAGAGGCTTCCTGCATGTGCGATTCATTATCATTCTGGATGCTGTGGAGTAAACGAGCCTCTGACTGAAGCCGTTTAACTCTGTTTCTCAATGCTGTGAAGAGACACACACACACACACACAGTTCTGCCAGACACAGCAAAGCAGAATGCAAAATCAGAGTCAAAGTCTCCAAAAGAAGACTGGTCAGGCACTTTTGTTTAATAATGGTGATACAGCGGTCTTCTCCGTGCTCTTTTGCTCCGCCTACATGCTCAGAGATGCACTCATGACATCACTGACCACAAACTGCTCATGTGCTCAATCATGTCTGCAATCCTAAAGCTGGGCGGACACTGTGCGACTTTTTCTCTCGTAGCACTCAGCTTCAGCTCAAACTGTACGACTTCCTCGCAGGGCAGATCTCACGAGTCATGTGCTCACACTGTACGACCCAGTTCTCGGATGCGACCTGACTGCTCGCACTGTACGTCTGGTAGCAACACGTCGGACCTAAAAATATGCTAAAAATAGCAGTTTTTACACAACACGTCAGACTTTTTGTCTTGTCTGTTGTCCTTCGGGAGTGCTGCAGGAGGACACACAGGGATTTATGGGGGCTGGATGAGGAAAACGAAATAAAGAAAGTAAATCTGTGTTTAGTGATCAGTTTAATTTGACATGAACACGACAAACACGCTTTCTTGACAATCTTTGTGAGTAAAAAAATGTGTAGAAATAAAAACGAACAACGTGTGTTATTAGGGAAATAGCGGGCGAGCGGTGTTGATGCAGGATTGCCCATGCGCCGTGAGCGGTTCTGATACTTTTTGGGTCGCAGCTGCTCGCAGCGCCGCTTCAACAGTGCGATACCCTCACGAGGGACGAGCAAAATTTCAAACACGCCATAAGTTTGTGCGAGCTCACGATTGCTGATCGGTAGCTGGTCACGTGGTGTTAATCGCCTCTCGTAACCCCCTGTACACTACACGACGCTCGGCGCAAAACTCGCCCCGATCTCGTGGATTCTCGCACGAGTGGAAAATCGCCTCAAAAAAGTTAAAAAGTCGCACAGTGTACGCCCGGCTTAAGGCAGTGTGAAATGAACGCGGTCAGGCTGGGGCGAGCGGAGTGGAGCCAATGCTAGTGTGTAAGTGATGCACCAGTGCTTTTTGGATCTGGTTTATGAAGCATGTACCTAAGCATACTTTACACATTACATACACATTTTCCTGCTGTCTGAGGACCATTCTCATAGGTGCAGTCACCAAACCTCAAACATAGGTGGCAGATGACCAGAGGCTTACAGGGATATTTTAAATGACCAACGGTGTGACTTTGATGAACTAAGAGCCTCTCTGCTGAGTACTAGCTCCCTTTAATGTTATTCAGCGTGCGGATAGCTGACCGCAAATGTTTTGGAGGATTTTCAGCATGACAGTGAAAACAGACAAGTACATCTTTTATTTTTAATTTTTAATGCGTCTCAGGATAAATGCAGGACTTGGCCCGTGGTCTAAAGACCACCTTACAAGCTCTACCCCCACTGGATGCATTTTGAAAGAAGACTGCAGTATTTCAATGAGCTGCTGCTGGTCATTTATTTCTCTGTAACAGTTTGTCTCCTTCATTAGTTCAGTCCTGGACCATCAACACTGCATCTATCCAATCACATTGCAGAGTAGTTACATCTCCATGAATGACTCTGGGATACCAGCTCTGTTGATAACACTCTGCATCCGTTCACAGGGTTCAGCAGCATTTGTCTGATAGTGATTATGTAATATTATATACAGTCTTTTATTTAGGTCTAGTGACCAGGGCCGTGCAGAGACCTTTGACGGGGCGGGTGCTCAAAGTAAAAAAAGGGGCACTTACAGAGCAATCCAATAAGTTAGAAAATTCTGATAATGAGACCCTTGGGTTCAAACAACATAATAAAAATATATCAATTAGTGTCATTAGTGTTAATGTTAGTTCATAAATAACAGTTTTAGTTTATAAAGCTGACCTATATCTAGAGGTGTTACAACCACATTTTTGCCCCTGATCCGAGTCCAAGTTGTTTGATTTTTGATTATCTTCCACTACTGAGTCCTGTTCTGATACCAGGTGGTGATGCAACGCATTATAAAAGAAGAAAGAAGTCGTCCTTCTGTCTGTATTTGTCATTTTGTTATTTTAGCCTGAAAAGGTCACTCATTCAGGAAGTACATTTAACAGAAGTTAAGATACGTTATTGCTATTGCACAGGTGTACAACCAAAGATATTTTGTGCTTACTAAAGACAGCTCTAGTAAGAGGTAGTAAAATAAATGTAAAATAAATGCACCACAGAGACTTATCCAGTTTGATCTACAGCTATGTTAGCTGAGATCTTTTTCCTGACAGTAGAAAATTCTTGATCCCATTCCATGATCTCACTGAACGTAACACTAAACATGAGAGCTCTGCTACCAACCTAACAACAACACCCTTTACACAAAGGCACCATCATCACATACGTGGCAGGAGTCTCAGAGAAACTTAGAAGAATCTTCTCCAAACACAACATCCCGGTAAACTTTAACCCAACAACACCCTCAGACAGAACCTGGTCCATCCAGAAGACAAAACACCCAAACAGAAGCTCGGTGGGGTCGTTTATGCAGTCCAGTGTAGGAGCACTGTCCAGATGTTTGCATTAGAGAAACTAAACAACAATTACACAAGAACATAACACAACACAGGAGAGCCGCCTCTTCAGGTCAAAACTCTGCAGTCCACCTTCACCTGAAGGACAAGGGACACACCTTTGAAGATGACAAAGTCCACATTCTGGACAGAGAAGATAGATGATTTGAGAGAGGAGTAAAAGAAGCTATCTATGTCAAAACGTGAAAAGCCCACTTTAAATAGGGGCGGGGCTTAGATTTCACCTTTCCAGTACCAATAATGCAGCTTTGGTCAAGGTCAAGGTCAGTTTTACTTACAGAGCGCATTTACAGCAGCAAAGCTACACCAAAGCGCTGTACAAGGTAAAACAAATCAACAATAAAAACCTAAAATAAGATGAGCACACAACAGTCACAATCTATAATAAAAACTGTTAAAAACTATTAAGATGCTCAAGTCAACCTGCATTAAAAGCCTAATCAAAAAATTGCGTCTTAAGAAGGGATTTAAAATGCTCTAGACTCTGTGTGGTCCTGATGTTGAGAGGTAGCTTGTTCCACAGTTTGGGACCAACCACAGAGAACGCTCTGTCGCCACGAGTCTTGTGGCGGGTTTTTGGAACTGTTAAAAGAGCTTGAGAGCTGGACCTCATGGTTCTGGCAGGGACGTAAGCGGACAGCAGCTCAGAGATGTAAACTGGGGCCAGGCCATGAAGGGATTTGAAAACAAAAAGTAA